AAGAGACTAATTAATGAGTGTATATATCTAATGATACTGAAGTGTGTATTCTACTTGCTTGGGGACCAGAATCTAATTCTAAGTGAGTCACCACCTTTCTTACCAGAGACCCAGTGAGTGTTGGTGTAACTGATTTGATTGTCATCTAAGGAATATTTATTATGAGCAAAAAATAGTCACAGTGCATAAAAAAATATAGATGACAATCAAATCAGTTACACCAACAAAAGATAAAAATAAAAGGATAAACCTACAGAAGTCCTATTCACTTACTCAGGTTTTTAAAGTAAAACTTCTGCTCACTGGGTCTCTGGTAAGAAAGGTGGTGACTCACTTAGAATTAGATTCTGGTCCCCTAGCAAGTAGAATACACACTTCAGTATCATTAGATATATACCCTGTGGATTACCAAGCCTTGCCCAAAGGTGGAGATAAGGCGTACTTATAGTAACTATCAGTGACCACCCCCTTGTGTTCCAGACCAACATCAATTCAAATGGAAACATTTGGTTCTATCTACTCTTATGTACTTGCCACAGAAATAATAATTGCATCTATGAATTTGTTACAATTTTTCCATTCCATAGATATTGTACACTCCACACTTATGACCAAATATAGCGGCCATCACAGTCCCTTCCCCTATGGTTAAGTTACACAAATTATAATAAAAATGAGGCTTAATTATTAATCTGTGGGTAAATATTAATGTTTCTTTTGGATATGATACTGGAACACAAGGCTAAAGGCTATTAACATATCAAAGACCCCCTATCTAAGAGGGAATCTAGTAGGGATGTGTCAGTGAGCTTGTCTGTAGTGAGCTTGTGTGTGTCAGTGAGCTTGTCTGTAGTGAGTTAGTGTGTGAGTGAGGGTGCTGTGAGTATCAGGGGTGCAGTTTGTGTGTGTGAGGGTGCTGTAAGTGTTAGGGGTGCAGTGTGTGTGTGTGAGTGAGGGTGCTGTAAGTGTTAGGGGTGCAGTGTGTGTGTGTGTGTGTGTGAGAGTGCTGTAAGTGTTAGGGGTGCAGTGTGTGTGTGCTGTGAGTGTCAGGGGTGCAGTGTGTGTGCGTGTGTGAGGGTGCTGTGAGTGTCAGGGGTGCAGTGTGTGTGAGTGAGGGTGTTGTGAGTGTCAGGGGTGCAGTGTGTATGAGTGAGGGTGCTGTGAGTGTGAGTGAGGGTGCTGTGAGTGTCAGGGGTGCAGTGTGTGTGAGTGAGGGTGCTGTGAGTATCATGGGTGCAGTGTGTATCAGTGAGTGTTAGGGGTGTCTGTGAGGCTGCTGTGCCCTGAGTGATTATTTCCCCCCTCCCTGCTTACCTTTAGCCTGGGAGGGGGGATCCTGTTGCTGGGGCTGCCATCCATCCCTGGTGCTCTTAGTGGTGAGTGAACTCTAGCCTATAAGGCTAGAGTTCACTCTTGCGAGACCCGGAGCGTTGCCATGGCAACGCTCAGAATCTCGCGAGAGGAACCCGGCGGAGCTGTAAGTTAAAGCTCCGCCGGGTTCCTCTGCTGACAGGCTGGCTCCCTCCCTCTCTTCCCGCCGGCGGCCGCAGTATACTCTATGTGGGCCGGTGACAGAGATCTCTGATCTCCCCACCGGCCCGCTGTAGACTACTGCAGGGCCGGCGTTCGGATAGTGCCGGCCCTGCAAAGACCGGCAGGGGAGATCCTGTGATCTCCCTGCCGGCCTCGGCCCACGGCCACTGCGGCCCACGGCCACTGCGGCCCACGGCCACCGCGCCTTTGTGTCAAATTTAGTGTCAAAACGAAATAATTAAAGGGATAGTGCTTTGATGTATATACTCACAATACATATCATATATCTGTTCTATATGAAATACAGTTCTTTATTAAGAGCAGGACAGGGAATTGGGGGCACACCCAGAAAATACATTTCTCAGGAGTGTTGCTTCCATAGAGACCAAAATGTATACAAAATACAGATTAAGAAACAGTGGACACAGAAAGATAGAGTTTTAGATTTTAGAAGGCTAATTAAAATCACCTATTTTAGCAAACAAATCACTATCACTTTAAAGGAACCTATAGTTATTAAAAATAACTTTATCTTAATGAAGCAATTTTGGTGTATAGATTATAATCCTGCAGTCCTACTGCCCAATTCTCTTTTATTTAGGAGTGGAATCGCTTTGTTTATACAGTCCTAGTCACACCTCCTTGCATGTGACTTACACAACGTTTGTAAACACTTCTTGTAAAGAAAGATCTTTGTTTGCACTTTCTTTTTTGCACATTCTGTTTAATTTAGAATATCTTATCTCCTGCTCTATTAATAGCTTCCTAGACCATGCAGGAACCTCCATATGTAATTAAAGTTCAATTTAGTGAGCAGAAGATAAAAACTTATTTTAAAGTAAGTTACATCTGATTGAAAATGAAACTATTTTGTTTTCATGCAGGCAGTCTCAATCACATCTAGGCAAAGTGTGACTAGGGCTGCATAAACAGAAACAAAAGTGACAACTCCAAAATGGCAAATAACCGAGCATTAAGACTGCAGGGGCATGATCTATTCATTAAGTTGTTTTGGTGATTTTGGTGTCCCTTTAATCATTTAGGTTTAACACTGTATTTTGTTTGTATTCTAACAAGACGTAGAGTTTCACTGTCACTTTTAGTGTCTTGGTATCTGTGACGAATGCCCCCTTGCCTGGATATTCACCACAGGGTCCTGGAGGAGTGGAGGCTAGCCTCCTGCCCACTGAATATGGGCCATAGAGAAGGCTGGAAAAAAGAATTGGTTCATGGGATTTGTTTGGTTCATGGGATTTGTTTGTACCGTAAGGGAACCGAACAGCCACACTAACCAGAGACCACCCAGGAGCTTGTTAACCCCTATTAACACCTTGGAACGGTTCTCACCTCAGTGTTTTAATTGTTCTTCTGGGTGGCCGCAATTCGTATGAACAACCACGAGGTGGCGGCCATCTTGTTCACATGAACGCAGGCAGTGGTGTTTGGTCGTCCAGTTCATGGAACTATAATCGGACACTGAAACTCCCGAACACCACTGGACTTCCATCATCACCTGCATTCTGTTGTATAGATCCTAGAAGAACACTGTTCGGTGGAATTGTTTGTCTGGTTGAGGGGAACAAGCTCCATGATTCAGGCCTTGGTACTCTTGTCATCATGAATATCTCCTAAAATGTATGAAGTGTTTCTATGTTTCTTATTAAACTCCCCGTGTCCCACCCCAATCCCTCTCCCACCCATCTTATAAATTAAATATTATTGTGAATTCCTGTCTATCAGTCTTGGTTTCCCCTGCTTGCTTTGGTGAGAGAGAGCTCATCTTGCATCCTTTACATTACAATAACTTTTTTTATTATGTTTATCTGCCCATTTTGGGAAATTTTATACATTCATCCTGTTTCCTCCTCTTCCCTGCTCCCTCCCCTTCCTGTAGCTGGATATAAATTGTGCCTGCATTGATTATTGCACACTGTGGTCAGAGAGAAGAAAAGATAGTAAGAAGAAAAAAAATAAAAATCAAAGGAGGTCTCGAGAGGGAAATTCAGCACTATAGTGATGTATATTAGGTAAACGTTTCTATTTTGTTTATCCATGTATCCCAGTATATCTATTTCCTAAGTTCAACAAGATACCCCTTTCCATTTTTGCCTGCCATATGACTTGTATAATTAGTTCTTGAGTGCATGGAATTGTCCCTGTTTTCCAATTTCATGCTTAAAGTAATTTAGCTGCCGTGATGATATGCAGTTTTAACATTAGTGTATTTTTTGTCATGTTTGGCCAGTTCAGGTTTAACAGGACCACTTCAGGCCTTAAGACTAATTTCATTTTTGTTATTTGATATATTGCATTGATTATATCTTCACGGAATTTGTTTATTGCCACCATAAATGGATCAAATTGCCTTTATTAACTTTACATTTTCAGTATCTATCTGATGATTCAGGGAAAATTTCTGTGTTAGGTACCATCTATTTGAGACTTTGAATGGCGTTTCAGTGAGGTTTAGACAGTGTATACATTTATATAATTTGCTATATATATATATAATTTGGTATATGTACTTGCAATTCTTTTTCCCATTTATTAATCAATTCTATTGGTTTATCGTGTCTCCATCTATATATAACTTTGATGCATTTTGTCAACAGATTTTTTATAATTCTTTAGTTCATGTAGTTGTATAAGATTTAGATTTTTCTCCCCCTTGTTTTTCAAGAGGTATTCTATTATGAAGCCCTTAATTCGCAAATAATTAAAGGTTTATTTGGGGGAATTCATTTTATTCATTTTTATGTTACCAAAGTTGACTGACTGCTAGCCCTGATTTTATGGAACTGTTTTGGGAATAGGACCATGTGCACGGTTGGTCAAATAATTGACTTCCATGGAAATCTCAAACCGCTGAACCGATCTGGGTGATTTTTTTGATATGTTGGTGTCACGTGCGTGGGCTATAGGCCCAGCCGAGACAGTGGGGAGAGTGTGGAAGTGACAGGGTTAATGACACCAGACCCCTGGTTACCTGTTGCTAGTCCCAGCAACCACTCAATTAACCCCTGCAATCCCTTCTACACTAACTCCCTTAGTACACTTGACTGCCACCACCAAGACTTTTAAACCCGGGCGTCTTAGGTTACCCCACACACAGGAGAATTATAGTATCACCGTTCTACTTTTACTGATAAAACATATATAGTTAACCCTTTTTGGTAACGTGTTTACCTGAGCTTTCCTCTGGAGAGTGAAGCTCATAGAGAACAGAGACACAAGCTGATTAAGTAAACATTTAATCTGACAAAAAGGATTCACAGTGCTGAGTACAAAATACAGAAATAAATGACATACAGATAACAAATTGCAAAACAGTACATAAAATAAAATAGGAGAAAACACAAGAAATTCCTTACATATATTTACCCCATATAGAATTCTTGTGGGAGTCTTAGATGGTATAGGTCTCCTAGAAGTTACTGACAAAAAGAAAAGGAATAACTGACTTCCCTGGATAGTCCAACACCCTCATATAGCTAAACTAGTTGTTTCTCAGTGGGCAGACCCCTGGGGGGGGATCAGAGGGGGCTGGTCTGGCAGTCTATTGTCCACTCTATGAAATTCCTTGTGTCCAGCTCTGGTGATGGCTATCTAGATGTTTTATGGTCTAGGCCTGGTGCAAGATCAAAGACCACAACAAATGTCATCCCAAGGTTTACAAAAAAACAACTCTTAACATATATAAACACACATCAAACACCAACTCATGCTTTTGGCATGACAGTTGGTAACCCAGATCGGGGCTATTAGGGAATGTAACTTTTGTGGGGTTTTCATGTGTTTTTGGGGTGTTTGTAAATTGTATGTTTCTGTGCCTGGAAAAAATTGAGTTTGTACAGTTCCTGACTCAATTATCTCTCAGGCACAGGGTAGAGATTACTCTGTTTTATGTGGGAGTGTCATGGGCTTGTTTTCTGTGTCCTTGTACTGCATAAAAGCAGGCCATTTAGCCTGGATTAAACAGATCATCTTACCCCTTCATGAAATATAGGCTCGTGTTTGGGGGATTAGGAGCTATATTCACACTTATAATCAGTAAGAGCTGGGAGATTCTTCGTGGATGTACTCAGCTGGAGTACTGGGATCCGTTACAGTAGTATTTGCAAACATCTTCCCAAGATCGCATGTCTGGTTATACTATGGTGCCCAACAGAAGAGGGTAAGATAGAGATATTTACTCAAAACACTTTCGCTTAGCCTCTCCTATCTTTTGCATTTGTGTGATTGCAACTCTGCAAGATCTTCTATTGATAATATCATGCTTCAGGCATATATTGGAAGTTATGAGGATATGGGAAGCAGAAGTCTTGTTTTATTATTCCAACTAGAATGTATGAGAACACTAATAATGTTTGGTCCCCACGCAGGTCTCATACAGTCTTTAGCTCAATTGTGCCGTTACAGAGAGAACTGTAGCTACATATCAGACCTATGCTATTCATATACAGTCTGGAACCAAAATTCAAGAAAGTTTCCTCTGAACAAGACATATAAAATGCATCCTCAGACATTTGCTATGGCCTTAGTGGGCCTTTTCAGTGAGGTGTAGGGAAATAAGCAAGTGATCCACATTTAGATCCTAGTCAATTGAAAATAAGTAAATGGGGACTAACTGGAGGGCAAGGGACCACATTTTCCACATAGTCCAACACATCTAAACTCTACAAGTGGAAGTTCTGATTTAAGAGCAGAGCAGTGTACTAAATAATTATATTCAAGCTGCATTCTAAATCACATTTGTTTTCATAGGTCTCATCTCTCAAATTATTTATTCTTTGTTCATCTTGATAAATTTATTGAAGGTTTCCAAAGTCAACATATTTACATTTTGAAAACATGTTAAAAAAGATCAATGATACAGGCAAGTTTTCATGCACAGGAATAAAAACAAACCATTAAAGAAAGTAATAAACATACCATACATTTAATCGGAGAATAAAATGTTACACATGTTGATACACAAAAGCTAAGCAACTTAAGCAAAAACCAATGCACAGTTTAAAAAAAATGGTAAAGCAAAAGAACTATGAAAGGTTTTAATTGAGTATAAATTGTAATATGGGATTGACTGTGCCTGATAACTTTGTAGGTAGGGATCATGAATTTGAATGTAATTCTCAAGCATACGTAAAAGCAGTTTTGACAGTGGCATTCTTTACAGATTGCCAGGGCTGGATTTGCATGTCAAGACATTTATTAACTGGACATTGCAGGCCTAGAAACATGGCCATATTTGGCAACTCACCCAGTCTCCACTCCTTCGAGAAATCATTAAAAACCCACTTCTTCATAAAAGCGTATCAATTAAACTGTTAATAGCTCCCGACTGATTCCTCTCTTGCAACTGTCATTAGTCTAATACTATCCTGACCTTTTATGTCACTTTACCCCACTCCCTCTAGCATGTAAGCTCATTGAGCAGGGACCTCAACCCCTCTGTTCCTGTGTGTCCAACTTGCCAGGTTACAACTACATGTTTGTTTGTCCACCCACTGTAAAGCGCTGCAGAATTTGATGGTGCTATATAAATAATAACATACTACTAATAATAATGTACATAAATGTACGTATGTAAGTAGGACACACACAGATTCACTGACAGACACACACTCAATGACAGATACATACACATTCTCTCTGGAAGAACACAGACATCAGCACTGCCTGGCCGCTTGTATTCATTCCTCCCTCTGGGCACAGCACATTCAGGCAGAGTAGGGACATGTCGCCTGGGTAAGCAGGTGCCTACTCTGCCTTAGTGCAAAGCAGGCTCTCTGCTGGGGTGCCCTAAGGTGGACAGTAAGGTGCGAGTAACCCCATGAGATACACTTATTAAAGGTTGAGAACCTGTGCTTTAAATCAACTATGTTTCTTGATCAGCTGTTTTGGCCTACATTTGAAGTTTACTGTAAATTTCCCAAAATTCTCACAATAGAGAGTAACCTGTTAGTGAACAAGAAGACATTATTTCTTCAATATTCTCATGATGAAAAATATATAAATCAATGACAAGCCATGTAATAATATTTGCAATATTCTATTTGACCTTCAGTATTCAGGCAATACTGAAAATGTATTTAATTAAACATGATATAAGAAAACCAATGAATTGTTTATTTATGTGTATTAAATCTCTCCCCTGGGAACCAGGACATACGTTATGAATGTGAAACTCTCAGAACTTTCTAAGAAAGTAATACCATCTATCATGTTACATGCAAAAAAATAGAATACGCAAACATACTGTTTCAGCTTTGTTTTTCTCACGACTACAGATTCCTCGTGTTGCCTATATAAATGTTTTATAAATACAAAAACACTGATAAACAAGATATTTGAAAATGATTATACTATATAGTGTATCATTACCACATGAAGTCAGGTCTACCCCAGCTATACAGCCACACACATCGTGTTATTAGGATCTTGTTTTCCTTAATCCAACCGTTTTAAAAGAAAAGATTAAGAAGCTCATCAAAAACATTTACAGAATTACTTGTGTTTAGAAAACGCAGACTATGTATGGTAAAATACACTTATTTTTTCTCATGGGATGCTGTACTGGAGATGGCATAGCAAATCACACATCCCATATGCTATAGATATCACCTCTAAGGGTCACATCTGTAGTGTAGTGTTTTTTCTATTCCCAAGGCACATAGGAAGCAAGAAGTAGCACAGCTCTGAGCTTAAACTAATACCTCCACTTAGAGACCACTTAAATTTAATCCATCCTTTACAACAAAAATACATAAAAAAAAAAAAATCCTATTTAAAAGATGACTCTTTGAAGAAGAGTAGAATGAATGGATGAGGAAATGTCATTTTTTCAGACTTGTTTTATGGCTAAACGTGATTTGATAAATATTCTGCTACTAAGAGATAATCAAATGTTTTAAAATGTATAATAGTCTGTGTTGTGGAAATAAGGTCTGCACATATTTCCTAGTTAGTGAAAATGTCTATTTACTCATTCCACGATATATCATATATAAAGCTGAGCACACATGTTTTAATCAAAATGGCTGCTAGAAGCTTCTAACCCCTCCTCACCCCCCTTTCCCTTCTTAACACCAACTAACTACCTCGTGCAGCAAGATGGCGCCGGGAAACCGTGGGAGACCCTCATGGCCCCGGTGACATCACCTCAGTAGGCAGAGCATTAGAGCAACCACTTAACACCTAACCAATTATTGATGTATTATTCCATGTTATCTCTGACAATGCTTATGATGTAATTTTTCTTTAAAAGGGACCTGCCATCCCCTCTGAATAAACATTCCTCAAGTTATTCAACAACCTGGAACCTGTGTCTGGTGTGAATTACTTCAGGGAGCGTGCACGCATCGTTTCATTGATTTGGCCAGGGGCAGATACACAAAGAAATAATCAATACTTTGATTGATTTTTCCATTTCAATTGGCGCCCAACGTGGGGCCACCGGAGAGCCGGTTCGGAGGGCCGGAACCAACGGACCGGAGCGGACCTCCGGAAAGTGGGACAAGCGGAGCCACGTTGCCTGTGTTATTCTCCTGTTTTGTGTCGGTCTGTCTCCGAGTCCACTTCCGGCTTCCAGAAGGCTACTAGAGACAGGTAATTAACTCATCCGGTGTGCCTTTTTTTTTAAAGTGAACCTGTCGATTGTCTATCTGCCTCATTGCCTCTATATTCATTTGTGTGTGTGTGTGTGTTTCTCCTTCTTTTAAGATATGTTTGCTTGACTGCCTAGCGGGCAGGGAACGCATTACAGCCGGTGGGGCTGGGATTTTATGTTAGCTTGACTGCCTAGCGGGCAGGGAACGCATTACAGCCGGTGGGGCTGGGATTTTATGTTCGCTTGACTGCCTAGCGGGCAGGGAACGCATTACAGCCGGTGGGGTTGGGATTTTATGTTAGCTTGACTGCCTAGCGGGCAGGGAACGCATTACAGCCGGTGGGGCTGGGATTTTATGTTAGCTTGACTGCCTAGCGGGCAGGGAACGCATTACAGCCGGTGGGGCTGGGATTTTATGTTAGCTTGACTGCCTAGCGGGCAGGGAACGCATTACAGCCGGTGGGGCTGGGATTTTATGTTAGCTTGACTGCCTAGCGGGCAGGGAACGCATTACAGCCGGTGGGGCTGGGATTTTATGTTAGCTTGACTGCCTAGCGGGCAGGGAACGCATTACAGCCGGTGGGGCTGGGATTTTATGTTAGCTTGACTGCCTAGCGGGCAGGGAACGCATTACAGCCGGTGGGGCTGGGATTTTATGTTAGCTTGACTGCCTAGCGGGCAGGGAATGCATTACAGCCGGTGGGGCTGGGATTTTATGTTAGCTTGACTGCCTAGCGGGCAGGGAACGCATTACAGCTGGTGGGGCTGGGATTATATGTTGCTTGACTGCCTAGCGGGCAGGGAACGCATTACAGCCGGTGGGGCTGGGATTATATGTTTGCTTGACTGCCTAGCAGGCAGGGAACATGTTACAGCCGGTGGGGCTGGGATTTTGTTTGATTATTGCAGTGTTTTCATGGGTACCTGTGTTATACCGGGACCAGACTGGTGGGTGACGGCTGGGGATTGCTATACTTTGAATATTTGGCACCAGTGGTGTTAACATGTACATGGCCATTTTACTCTCTATCATTCTGTGGTTTCTGTTTAATTGTTGTTACAGTGTGGGTACCCTTGGTGTGTGTGTGTGTATTGTGTGGTTAGTTCTGGATTCCGGAGTTTACGCTCATTT